TTTGAGTGTCTGCTGCAGACACAGAATTAATCCTGAGTTTTCTCATAATCACGGATTCCGGTAGCAATAATTTTGGCATCAGTTGACGACAACCACCATATAATTTTCAAAGTCGAGTCGCGAAATTAATAATGAAAAATAAATTATGGGAAAAGATTTTATTCGTTTCTCAAATGTTTTCCCATTAATGCTACTACTAATATATTGATTTGATCTTGTTGTGTAATACTTACATTACGCAACGACAAATGGTAAACGGTGACAGTCGTTAATTCATTGCCAAAACAATTGTTATCCGGGGGCAATCCGGAAGATTCAAGATTCATTCCTTCCTGCAGCAGGTCTCTTGACATTCGATGAGGCTTTTTACTGAAAAAATAATTATGCTACATTTATTAATAATTTTAATAATAATTGAATCAATTTAACATTATACGATAGAATTCACACGTATTCAAACATACATATGTCATAAATATTTTTTTAAATCGTTTCGTTGAAATTTGAGAGTGTCTGCTGCAGACACAGAATTAATCCTGGGTTTTCTCCTAATCACGGATTCCCGGTAGCAATGATTTTGGCATCAGTTGGCGACGACCACCACATATTTTTCAAAGTCGAGTCGCGAAAATAATAAAGAAAAAATAAAGTGTGGGAAAAGATTTTAATCGTTTCTTAAATGTTTTCCCAATAATGCTATTACTAATATATTGATTTGATCTTGTTGTGTAATACTTACATTACGCAATGAAAAATGGAAAACGGTGACAGTCGTTAATTCATTGCCAAAATAATTGTTATCCGGGGGCAATCCGGAAGATTCAAGATTTATTCCTTCCTGCAGCAGGTCTCTTGACATTCGACGAAGCTTTTTACTGAAAAAATAATTATGCTACATTTATTAATAATATTAATAAATAATGGAATCAATATAACATTTTAGAACAGAATTCACACGTATTCAAACATATATATGCCATAAATATTTTTTTAAATCGTTTTGTTAAAATTTAAGCGTGTCTGCTACAGATCCAGAATTAATTAACGAGATTGTGAACTATTATTGAGAAAATAATTATATTATATTTAATAATAATAATATCAATAATGATGAAATCAAGAGAGCATTGCGCAATAAAAATCACACATATATAATTGTATGTAACAACTATCGGCAATCAATTTATGGCATTACTTATATTACCGATATTAATAAGAAAATATGATTATTTTTTGATAGCTAAATTTCATCAAATTTACTACTTTTTTTATGCATCGACAATGACTTTTTAATATATCAGAAACACTCACTCTACTGGTTGTAATAATCAATCAAAT